TGCTAAAGATGAACAGCTGACAATACAGAACCTCGCCCACAGGAGTCCACACTACAGTGGGAGAGAAAAAGCAACCAATTATTATTACAAGGTACACCGGGCATAGTGGCTCACGCCTGTAATCCCAGCACTCCAAAGGCTGAGGCAGGAGGATCGTTGCAAGTTAGAGACCAGCCTGGGCTACAAAGTGAGCTCAAGGTCAGCCTAAACTGCATAGCGGGACCCTGTCTTAAAAAGACCAAAAAAATAAAAATAAAAATAAAAATAAAAATTATAAGGCAGTAACTAAAACACACGCACATAGGAGGGGGGTGCCATATTAACAAATTCAATTCTCCCAACTTTTGACTATTCCCGTTTGAGAGATTAAGAAAATCAAGGTACAGAGATTAGGAAAATTAAGCTACTTGCCTAAGACAGCACAACCAGTAAGTGCTGAAATCACACTTGAATCCAGAGCCCACTTCCTAGGTATTGCGTTCTTTCACCAATAATGTAATATATGTATGTTATGCAATACAACATACTACTGCAATGTGATATATTAAATTATTTCACGGCCTGAAAAGTTTGGTGGACAAAATGAAGCAGGGAAGCAAGGTATTGTTTTGGTAAGAAAGTCCCATTAAAAGGGGAAATCACGGAGTCGGGCTTGGTGACTCAGGCCTGTAATCCCGGTATCTGGGAGGCTGAAGCAGAAAGACTGCAAGTTCCAGCTTAGCCGGGGCAATTTATACACAGTGAGACTCAGACTCGAAAAGAGCTGGCGATGTGATTCAGGATGAAGGCCCTGGGTTCAGGCTCCAGCACTACAAAATAATAATGATCGTTAATTAATATATAGCGACGATCAGGGAAGACCTCTCCGAGAAGGGGGCCTTTGAGAAGAGACCTGACAAAGGGCAAGATCCGTGGAGGAGGGGCACAACCGAGGCAAAGCATCGTCCGTCTGGGATCCAAAGTTTTCAGGAGTCCAAGTTTTCAAGACTGTAGCGCCGTCGTTTCCGACCTCTGGCTAGGATTGCAGGCACCAAACGAGGGGATTCCGGGATTCCGCGTAAGGCGCTGCAATCCCTGGGAGTTGAGCGGCGGCGGGGCTTCCCTGGGGCGGTGGGCGGGGCTGGTTCACCTGCGGGGGCGTGACTCCCACAGGCCCCGCCCCAGAGGGGGCCGCCCGGG